CAAAAATAGAGGCGGGGGGGGGGGGGGAATTAAACCCCTACAGTTAGGGATCCCATAATAGATCATTATAAATTAGCGAACCTAGAATCTACGACAAGTGAATAAAATCCGCAATCCCAAAATCTACAACCAAAATTTATAGCATCATAGACATAGCTAAACGCATGAAAGAACGAGCATTTTCATCTCTATTCTTGATCATATAATTCATCAATAGTAAAAAAAGTTCACAGTATGGATCCTAGATCCATGGTAAAATCGACTCCAAATAACATATTTCCCCGTTTTTGTGTTTCCTGGTAATGAAACGTTGTTGAAGACACCATGAACCTTTCTTTTAAATCATCTTGTGGACTCAAAACCTCTATGTCAATTTTCTCTTCACGTGTTGTTTTATACTTCGTTGATGGCTAGTTAAATCTAAAAATTCTTTGCAAGGTCTAATCGTCCTTATACCTACATCCCTATATTCTTACACTAATAATACGCCAAGAACAAAAACACTGCAATTCAAAAATTAGCATAGAAACGACACACGTACATCCCTACAACGTTTAGGCACCAACAAAAACTTGAAAAAAGCTACATGTAGAAGAAATCTGCAACAAGCACAGGGGGACACTTTCCTGTACGTGTAGTGCATCTCCAAAAACTTACCAGCTAAAATGTAGTCATAGTTGTTCTTCACATATCAATTTCTTCATAATTAAAAATATCTAAAGTAACACAAACTCAATGATAAGGCAAATCGTACGGACTTAAAATACAGTTTGACGTACCTTGAGCATTTTACACATCTTTCCAGGTTGAATTCTATTCATAGCGACTTCATTATAAACATCTGGCCACACTGATAGTCAACTACTTGGAAATTATTGGATGAGGATGAAAATTTTCCATTTGTCAATTGGAGAAATTGATTTGGAGAACAAACTTAGGGTTCGCATCTAAATTGGAAAATTTGAAGGTCTGTTCTCTTGACTGTTTTCAGGTCTTTTTTTTATTTTCGATTTTTCAAAACGATCAAAACGCATTCTCTTTTCTATTTTCGAAAATGAGTTTTCCAAAAAAAAAGTACTAAAAACACAAAACGACCTTTTACCCGTCATGAGTGTTTGTAGCTAAATAATGAAAACACTAGAAGCACAGGGAACAAACTAAAAACGACCCATCTCTTTCATTTTAAAATTAAGCTATTGTACAAGAAAAAAACCTAATGTACAGGCCCCCTCACATGCTGTGTGAGGGGGTGGGGGATTATTTAAAAAAAAATTCCCCCCCCCCTCCTTGTATTCAGTCTGGCCTGTATAGGCCCTATGAACGCAGGGTCTGTACAGCCAGCAAAGTTAATTGTACAATGTTAGTTGACAAACATTGTTATTGTAAATGGTCTAAAAGGATTTGATCGAAAATATACTAATGGTGAACTTGTGAGTAAAATGCTTAGGTCTCTATATGAAGATTAGAGCCCATTGAGAATGTTGATAGAAAATACCAAAGATATCAATACATATCTTTTGGAAGAACTCTATGGAACATTGATGACTTATGAGCTCAACAATGTTGAGATCAAGGAGAAGAGAAGAAAAAGTAAAGAAGAATAAAAGGAACCCTCTAAACTTCAAATTGCTTTAAAATCGACAATTGAAGAAGAAACAACAAGTGACAACATGAGCGATGAAGAACTTGAAGACTTGGTTCTTCTTTTCAAAAAATGGAGGGGCTTCTGAAACAATTGAAAATTTCAAAAGAATGATGAAAAAGTAGAAGAGAAAAGCAAGAAAAACTTATGTTATGATTGTGACAAGTCCGGCCACAAAAGAACCGAGTGCTCGAACAAAGGAAGAACATCAAGAAAATGCATTACAAGCTACATTGGATGAAAATGATGATGATGATCAAAACGAAAATGATAACCAAGATGAAATTGTGAACATGTGCTTCATGACCATTGAAGACGAGGTAAATTCTATTGATAAAAGTTCATATGATGAATTGTCTACTTCTTACGATGAAATTCTTGAAGAATTTGAAAAACTTGCATTAAGTTACTCTATTCTTAAAAAGAAAAATGCTTCATTAAAATAAGAAATAAAGAAAATTTCGGAAAAATAAAAAGAAAATTTCAATCACGATTTGTTGATCAAAGAAAGTTCTCTTTTAAAAGAAAAGATTGAGGAAAAGATTGAGGACTTGACAAAAATCATTTATAAATTTTCTCAAGGAAAGAAGAATTTTGATTTAATGCTTGGTAATCTAAAATGTATTTTTGATAAAGGAGGAATTGGATACAAATCCTTCTTGAAACAAGAGTCTTTTGAACAGAGGAATACTGTAGTTACATGTGGAAAAATGAAAACAGTAAATTAAAAAGACTACTTCCCTTACATTAATTGAAAATGCTAAAGAAAATGTTACTTAATCATGTTACTTGTCGAACTCCTACCCCTCGGACCACTTCGCTTCCACCTCTGCTAGTCCTTGAAATTCTTGTTCTGCTTTCATCAGTAAAAGATGAAAGTATGCTTTCTTGATTTTGATGCATTCTTGTTTTACTTACCCAACCGTCAATGTGTGCTCCATCTTCCCAGATTTAATGTAACCCCATGTTTCCATAGGAGAATTATGAATTTTGAACATCTTATTACATTATTCTAATAAATTCGTACCTGTATATTCTTATATTCATTTTTGACGAGCCATCACCTGGAATCAGAGATATTGGTAATCACTTGTGACGCCCCGAAAATTTTAGAATAAAAATGTATTTATTGTTATATGTTACATTTTTATATTTTGAAAAAAAAAATAAGGACTAAAATGTGACGAGCCATCACCAATCAGTGAGATTAAATTTACTCTCTCTCTCTCTCTCTCTCTCGGCATAAATTAATTGTATACTTTTACGTTTAAATACTCATTTTGCTCGCTCTCTTGATTTCCTCTTAGATTGTGTTATTTATATCTGTCAAAAAATATTTCAAGATTCATCGACTTCAAAATTTATATGTTATTTAATATTAAACTATTAAAAATTATTGAATAATCATATTTCTTGATTAAAATATTCTTAAAATTTCAAAGTGAACGCGTTTTCCAGTTTTATGTTTTGAGAAATAGTTTTCCAAAATGACAAAAAGAACGTATTTTCAGCAATTTTCAAACAGGTACTCAATACGAATTCGAAACTGAAAACGTTAAAAATTGAAACACGAAAAGAACGGCATCTAATTAATTGGGAAATGTAGAATAGAACTTATGGGGTGTGTATTATGAACTTAGGTCAACTGAAGTTATTAGTATTGTAGAGGAACCTAGTATTGGAGATAGAGATGGCAGTGGGTCGAGCCGAGCGTTAACTCATGAGCTCAGCTCGGGCTCGTGGTGAGCCGAGCTCGTTGCTCGTTTTTCAAGATCCGAGCTCGAGCTCGGCTCGGCCCACGAGCTCGTGGGCCGAGCCGAGCACTCGTTATATAGCTCGTAATTAATTATGTATATTAGGCTCGAAAAAAGTTAATTTGAATAAATTAGATCCAAGATATTAAAGTTCAAACAAGTTATCGTTTATTATAACTTAATTTGGTTACTTTTAATTTCAAATGTTTGGCCACCCAGCACGTCACATGTGTATATTATTATTATAAAAAAAGTTAATAGTTAGTGATTGGGCACATTCTTGGAAAACGTGTGAATATGGTAACAATTGGAGAGATTTGGGCCAAATTTCTTGGAAGACTTGTGAAATTAGATTTGATAGGAAATTATATATATAATGATAAAAAGGTAATAGTACTGATTTGGCCAATTTCTTGTAAAACGCGTGAGTATAAGATATGATAGGTTTGGTTAAATGTACAACTCATAAGGTTCAAGGAATGATTAGTTGATTACTGTCCCAAAAGAATTATGATATATTTTACTATATCAATCACGTGAATACACACAGTTTATTATTATTATTTTTTTTTTTGCAAATTTTTCAAATTTTATTGATAAAATTTTATTTTTTTTCCACATTTTTGGATGAGCCGCTCGGCTCGTTGGACGGGACCCCCCGCTCGGCTCGAGCTCAGGCTCGTCAAATGCCCACGAGCCGAATTTTGACGAGCCAAGCCGACTCGGCCCAATTGACGTCCCTAATTGGGGATGAAGGAGTTCCCCTCCCACCCCCTCCAACCCACAAAATAAATAAAATATTCATAACTTTTGTATTTCATATCATTCTTTCATCCATCATATGAAATATTTTGTCCAGGTATACAAATGGAAATTGTTTATGATGAATTGGAAAATTTTTGGATTGTTTAGTTGTTAGTGAGCATTTTAATAACCTTTTAAACCCTATCCGGTTTTGATTAAAATTAAATTAAATTTTAAAGTCAAATTCAATAATTAATTTTACATATTTTATGAAATTTATAATTTTTTAATCACACGACTCATCAACTTTTATCATAATCTACTAAAAATTTGATTTTTATTTTACCCCAAATAAAGACTTAATGAGAGATTAACAATCAAGGATAAATTCGTTTATAACTAGTTTAGCCCTTGTTTGAGCCACATTACTGGAATGAAAAATTATTTTTGAATAGTATATTGACGTAATGAAAAAAATTAAACACATATTTTCCATCAATATACTATTCAAAAATATTTTTTTCATTCCAGTAATGTGGCTCAAACAAGGGTTAAACTAGTTATAATTGAATTTATCCTTGATTAAATTTATGTGTAATATTATTTTATTAAAGAGTGTGTGATTAAAATAATATTAAATCATCATTAAAAATTATATTTTTTTCAAATAATGTGAGTCAAACAAATAACTCTCCTGAAATTATCCTGAGTGAAATACAGACGGAAAGACGTTCCTTTCAACTGCGGAAAACACTGTGCATTCCAACTCTTCTTTAAAAACGTTAAAATGCATACACCGTCGGTCTCCAGAATCTCTCTCTCTCTCTCTCTCTCTCTCTCTCCAACCATAGGTGACGCCTCGTGCCTTTCGCTTCTATCTCAAAGAATCTTAAACAGTATTACTGCTAAAAGCTAAAGCTTAAAATATTTTAGTCTATTTGGAAAATAATTGAAGAAAAATCGTAGTCATGGGAGTAGAAGAAGAGGGCTTTAGAGGTTGGCCGCCGGCGCCAAGTCGCGCGCCTTCGTACCTACAGAAAGATGACCACTGGACCCATTTTGATAACTCGGTGAATGCAGTTTCTTTTGGGTTTGTTGCTACTGCCATTCTCATCTCTATGTTTCTTGTCATGGCTATCTTTGAGAAGTTCCTCAGAACCAACTCGCAGACTCTAACGCCGTCTGGTGGCCCCCGCCGCCACACTGACATCGAGTCTCAGAACAACATAATTGGTGGGTTCAATTCAAAGATTGAGCACCCTTCATCTAAAGTGAGTGTTATCACAAATCCGTACATAAATCTTTTGGCAATTCATGTTGAATTTTTGGAATCTGCTGCATTTTGGCATATAAATCCCTTTTTATGATTTACTTCTGTTTATAAGTGCAAATTACAACTTTTATAAGGTAATATGTGATTAAAATTCTATTATTTTTGACAATCTGATTTTTTTTTTTTTTTTTTTTTTGGCCCCGTTTGTTTTTCATTTTTGTAAAAATGAGAATAAAAAATATAGCCGTTTCGAGCCCCACATAAGAGATAGAAATTCAAATACGGTGACTTGATGTGATGGATAACAGTCATTTTTTATTTTAATGTAGAAAGAATGAGAAACAAATGGGAGCTATATATTTTTCTCCTTAAAAACTACGTGGCTGGTCATTCACTAAAACTAGACGACATCATTTTGCATTTTATCTTTAAAAAATGCTTGTTGTACATCATCAATTACAAAATCTTTTTACAAATTGATAAGCGATAAAAAAGAAAGAAGATAATCAATTTTATTGATGAAATTTTGACCCAATCAAATTTCGTCACATCATTTATTGATAAGTCAATCTGTAAGATGAGATATACATATACCACAACCATGACCAAACCAGGGGTGTGGAGACAGGTTTATAACCTATGAAATCTCTTTGTTTGTTTAATGTCGTTCTAGCATTAGTTATATGCACAACTTGCTTCCTTGTTATTTATTGAATTATTGAGTGTTCTTAGATCTTTCTTGCTTATAATATTAGTCCAAAGTATTAAAGATGGAGTTTATTTAAGAGCCTATTTGATTCTCATTAATTGTGAAAAAATGAGTTTGATTATTATTTTTAGGAGAATGTGTGGTTAAAAAGTATGGAAAAATTTTTGGCATACGTATAAAACATTTTATTGTATAAATGTGTGGTTGAAATTGATCTTGTAGCAAACTATAAAATAAATTAATGAGTGTCAAAAGGGCACTAAATATTGTTTGTGGATAATAAAATGCTTTATCTAAGTTGGAGGACTGGTGGATGGACAATAAGAGTTTAATAGTCATGGGATTATGTATCCAACTCAAAGCTTCAGGCTTCAAGGATGACACGGAATGAGATGTGACTTGCTTCATGGCAACCTTTCAGTTTTGTGACTTGTGATAATGTCTCGAGTCTAAATACGCTTGGGTAGCATGAGCAATTAAGATTCAGCTTGTAGTTGTGCAATTGTGTGAACTTCTCGTTTATATTCTTGTTTATACATTGCCTCCCATAGAGAGAACCCTTTTTGCAAACAAACTTCTAAACGGGAACGTTTGGATAGAGAAAATATTTATGGTTTATGAACTATTCAGAATTATTACTGAAAGCTGAGCCCTTACCTATAAATGCTAATGATTAGTTATGAATTATATTATTCAGGTTAATATACTGCTGCAAGATTCCTGCACTGGCTAGCATTTTACTTCTCTAATTGAATCCTAATAAAATGATATAAGCACCTGTTTGGGCACCATTTAATTGTGATTTGGGAAAAAATGTGTTTTGGTATAGTAATTTTTTGGAGAGTGTGGTTAAGGAAAAGTTTTGGATTTACATGTAATATTTTTTTATGGAAGAATATCTGGCCGAAAATGAGCTAGTCAAAAATATATTTTGGAAATATTGGAGCCCAAACATGTGTAATGTGTTTCGTAAAATTATGAAGTCTCAATATGTTATCTACCTCTTGCAGGGGAAAGTACGCTGCTGTTGTGGTGTATTGGCTTCTGGGAAATGGGTACCTCTTGTTGGAAATTGGTTAAGTTTAAAAGTGAAAAAAGTCATTTTCGTGTCAACTTAGAGACTTGATCCGATAGTCAAATTAGAAATATCAATAGACTAACTTGCCCAAACATGGGTAATGCGTTTCGTAAAATTACGAATTTCATTTCAAATTCGTAATGAAAAGTGGTATCTCTTCTGATGTCCATCCTAATGTTTACTCAAAATTACACGTGTAGGCTTTCTCTATTATAACTGCATTTGATTGAGTTTGTGTTAGCACGTGCTAATCAGTGGCTATAGACTATAGTTAATTGTAAATACAGAAAGGTTTCAGTCTTCAACTCATTAGTAGATATGATCATATCATAATAATTAAATGGGAAAATTATGGTTGGACTCCCACAACCTTGGAAGTAGTGTGGATATGGGACCCCAACTTTTAAGCACGAGGTTATAGATCTTCAACCAATATAAGACTGTGACTTTATATCCCTAGTGGACAGAAACCATCCATTTGACTATATAGTGTAAATTTTTTGGTAAATCTTGTTTGATGAACTCCGTTTGAAGCTAGAATTTGATATGTGAAGGAGATGCGGGTGCTGGATTTGGGGCAAGGAGATGCCGATGCTAGGTTAGGCAGGAGGGGATGACTTCTCTATTTTTTATTCCTCCTTTCTTTTGGCGGGCACTTTTTTCTTCTTTTTGTTTGCCCCCTTATTTTATATAAGGGTAAAATAGTCATTTCCATACAGATCTTGACTTTACACTCAAATGGATGGTTTCCATTGATCAGATATAGGTTGACCCTTAACCTCGTTTTTAATGGATGGAGGCCCATATACACATTACCTCAAAGGTTGGCGAGTCCAGCCCTAGGATCCCCTAATTATATATGTGTTTAGCATTTTCTGTTGGACATGCTGCGGGACGAGTAACATGACGTGGCCTATGCTTGCTTTTCCTTGAGTGAATGCTTCTCGTTAATCTTGTTTTGCCGTTAATGAACTCAGTATTGTAATTGTTTCATTTTTCACTAGTTCATTGTGAGAAAAATTCATCAGAACAACAAAAATTCACTAAGAGAACATGTAGATATAATTTTTTAATGCATAATAAAGATTCAAATATCGACTAACCTCATAAAATACTTACAAGGTTAGTTCTATATATGATATCATTTTTTTTTTATAAGTTGCATCAATATATTACAAGGATAGCAATTCACATTCTGCCAGTGATAGATTCCTGGCTGAGCTTTTAACATCTCCAGGTTTAGATTCAATTTTGCGTGCTTCAGCTTATATTTGAAGCTATCCATAAGATAATCGGTAGTTCTGAATCTTGGCCTTCTGATTTATATACCTTATTTTTCCAGGTATCTGTTAATGCCAGAGAAGTTTCAGTGCTGATGCCGGGAGATAACGTTCCAACTTTTATTGCACAACCAGCTCCTGTGATCTGTCCCACGGAGGGCATGCATTCGCCTTCCCCATTAGCATATTCGTCTATTGATGCCTAGTTTCTCCAACTTACTCGTGCCATCAAGCTCTAAACATCAGGAGTTGACTGCTTGCTTGTGTGGATGAATCAGAAAGCATACTCATTAGAGTATTGATAGTCAACTTGAGCAGAAATCACTCATTTGTATGGGTGCAAAATCAAGTTTTTGGAATGAGGCCTTTTTTTTCGACTAGGCCTTTTAGCGTGTTCTGTATTTAGGTAGCCATTATCGTTTTTATGCTTTAGTTTATATAAAAAGTTATATAATTTTCTTGTATGCTTTGGTACATAGATAGTTTGGGCTCGATGATTCACAGTTCTGTAATTTGCGTCTTGAAACTTACCTAATTAGTTCAATGCACCGAATATTCTCTACCTGCTCGCCAGCTTCGCTTACCTTACCCCACTAGCCAGCTGAACATCAGTTTTTTCGTGGTTCGCACGAGTTGGCTCATGAGTAGATTTGTCATAATGGGTAAAATATTCAATTTCAGCCAAAAAAAAAAAAAATTATATTTGCACGAGTTGTGAGCAGTTTGACTCTCTCCATTAAGAAGCCCGTTTGTGGGGCAAGTCGAGCCATGATTGAGCGAGTCGAACAGTTTGTCTCATCTCATTTAACACCTCTTTTATTTGTTGGGGGTGGGTTTATTTGACAGGAATACTTCATAAAATGGAGTTGAAAGCAGAAGGCAGATGAAAACAACTGTTAGACTTGAATAATTTGTACGAAAAGTTCAAAATTCGAGGCCTGAATACCATTTTGGGATTTGATCAGTGAAATAATAATGAGAAGGCTTTTCAATTTCTTTAGCGGAGCAATCCCGCTTTTGTTTTTCCGATGAATAATAAACTCCTACAAAAAAAGGTTGGGATTATTTTTCCCGTTATACCTCCGACATGAGAATTAGTGGCCGGATTTTTATGAAAGTAAGCTAAGGAAAAATGAGAGAGAGCCAAAAAAATTATTGTAAAAAGAAGATCTCCATACCTGGCATACCTATGAAGTATTTATAGATGTATGGTGCCTTGCAACCTTTAAGCGATTATTGTCCATGTGTCCAGTGGTTAATGATGAATAATAAACTCCTACAAAAAAAGGTTGGGATTATTTTTCCCGTTATACCTCCGACATGAGAATTAGTGGCCGGATTTTTATGAAAGTAAGCTAAGGAAAAATGAGAGAGAGCCAAAAAAATTATTGTAAAAAGAAGATCTCCATACCTGGCATACCTATGAAGTATTTATAGATGTATGGTGCCTTGCAACCTTTAAGCGATTATTGTCCATGTGTCCAGTGGTTAATATCCACTCACTAGGCGGTTCTCACCCACGTAATGAGTGGTCAACTTCCACCCACTAGATGATAATGGGATTAGTGATAACAACCAAGCAGTTTTTAATCAATTAAAACGATGTTTAGGGATTAGGAGTCATGGTGATGAGTCTACCATAGCGATAATCAGTCTACAATAGTCGTAGTCAAACTAGCATAACGGTAGTCGATCTACCATAGCGATAGTCGAGCTAGCATAGTGGTAGTCGATCTACCATAGTGATAGTCAAGCTAATATAGCTATAGTCGGACTAATATAGAGGTAGTTGGTCTACCATAGTAGCAGCCAAGCTAGCATTGTGATAGTCGGTCCACCATATTGGGAGTCAAGCTAGGATAGCAATAACCAATCTACCATATTTGTAATCAAGCTAGCATAGTGATCGACCATAGTGGTAGTCAAGCTAGCATAACAATTCTCATGCTAGCATAATGGTAATCAATCTACCATATAGTTGGGCAATTATCTATACTTGGTTGGCCATCATAATCCATTATTTATATTACACATCGTCACTAGCCCCTCTATCTGTTGTTGATAGCGTTGACCTATGGTTGACTTCACAATTTGATTATAACAAACAAATTGCTTATATCACTAACAATCGCATTTGAGTGATTATATAGAAATTGTGGCAAGCTTGATCAATTGAAGATGAAATGGTCGCCATTGGAATACTTGCAAAAAATGAGGTCAAGCACATACGACAAATCATTCAAGACAAACACCTTATCAAGTCCGACATTGAAGCCATTAGATTTAGATATCTTGAATTC